CCAAGGCCCAGTGTCCGACCTGGCCTTGGACAATTCCAGCTCTGCAGAGATCAACCCCAAAAATATTGGTGAGTTCCTGGGAATTCCAGCTCTGCAGAGATCAGCTCCCAAAAAAATCAGTGTATTCCTGAGAATTCCACCTCTACAGAGATCATCCCCAAAAACTCAGAGGGCTCCTGACAGTTCCAGCTCTGCACACAAACTGAGATCAGCCCCCAAAAAATATTGGTGAGTTCCTGAGAATTCCAGTTCTACAGAGATCAGCCCCCCAAAATACCAGTGAATTCCTGAGAATTCCAGTTCTACAGAGATCAGCCCCCAAAAAATCAGTGTATTCCTGAAAACTCCAGCTCTGCACACAAACAGAGACCAACCCCCAAAAACCAGTTTATTCCTGACGATCCATGAGCACCCCGAGCCCATCTCCTCCTGCTGGAATTGCTGCTTTTCCTTTCTCCTGCTTTTTAAGATGCAGCATCCAGCCCCAAGCAGATGGGAAGCTGTCAGCACAGCGCGGGATAATCACCCCCCGGAGCCACGGGAAGCTCTGCTTCCCTGGAAAAGGTTTTCCCTTGGAAAAAACACCCTGGAAATCCTGGTTTGGGCAGGGGTTCAATTCTTCCCGAAGTTGCTGTGTTGGTCAGGGAGGGGAAACGGCCTGGTCAGCGCGATGGAAATGCCAAAAAAGCAAAAAAAATCGGAATTAATCTGATAATTGCTTCAAGATTTTGGGTTGGAATCAAGGAATCGTTGAATCATGGAATTGTTTGGGCTGGAAAAGAGCTTTAAAACAACAAATCCAGGTCAGACCAGTGCTGATGTCCAGCACTCAGTGATGGCCCCATCCCTGCTGCTCCAAACCCTTCCCAGATCCATTCCTGGGACTCCAAACCCTTCCCAGTGCTCCAAACCCTTCCCAGATCCATTCCCACTGCTCCAAACCCTTCCCAGATCCATTCCTGCTGCTCCAAACCCTTCCCAGCTCCATCCCTGGGACTCCAAACCCTTCCCAGCTCCATTCCCTCTGCTCCAAACCCTTCCCAGATCCAATCCTGCTGCTCCAAACCCTTCCCAGATCCATTCCTGGGGCTCCAAACCCTTCCCAGATCCATTCCCACTGCTCCAAACCCTTCCCAGATCCATTCCCAGTGCTCCAAACCCTTCCCAGATCCATTCCCGCTGCTCCAACCCCTCCAGGTCATGAAGGTCCCACTCCTGCTGCCCCCTGCCCAGCAATCCCAAATTCCCAGCTCCAAATCCTCTGTTTTTCACGGATCCCACCCAAACTTGTGCCTCTTTGGATGTTCAGACCCTTCCAGAAGCCACCTCAGATCCTCATTTTCTCCTGGATGTTCCTTGGAGTTTTTCTCATCTCCTCCAGCTGGGAAAGGTGAAGGAGCTCAGAAATCCTCACCTTTTAAAAAAGTTATTCTGGAATTCTGGGGTTTCTCTTTATTCTGGAATTCTGGGGTTTCTCATTATTCTGGAATTCTGGGTTTTCTCATTATTCTGGAATTCTGGAATTTTTTAAATTATTATTCTGGAATTCTGGGGTTTCTCTTTATTCTGGATTTATTTTTTTTTTTTTAATTCTGGAATTCTGGGTTTTCTATTCATTCTGGAATTCTGGGGTTTCTCTTTATTCTGGAAGTCCCTTCCTCAGCTGGAAAAGTCAAAAATCCTCCATAAACCAGGAGGAATCATGGAAAAATCCCTCAAGGGCAGCACTGGGAGGAACCTGGAGCCCCAAACCCACAATTATCCTTCCAAACCTGCTCCTTGCAGCCCTTAAAAAGTGAATTTTAAAGGGTTTTTTATCTCCTTTTTCCTCGGTGATGTCATCCCTTTGCAGGGAAAAAAAAAAAAAGGGTTTACATGAGTTCTGCCAGCACATGCTGGAGATTTTGTCAGCTTTTTTTAAAAATTAGCAAAAGCAATTTTTTAAAAATTGCCTCACCTGTCAGTGTTTGATGACTGAAAATCGAGGAGGGGAAGCAGGAAAATTGAGCTCAGATTTCCTGGAAATGGGGGGAAATTTTTGCCTGGCCTGAGCTACTTGCTAAAAAATGGGATTTGCAGGGTGAAAAAAGGAAAAAGGGAAGAAAAATAAACGGGGAAAGGAAGAAAAATAAATGAAAAATGTTCATAATTTGCTTTTTCCTCAGCATTTTAACAGGAAAATTGTGGGGGGAGATGAAGGTGATTTCAGGATCCTGTGCAGGTGTTTCCTGCTCCTTAAATCCTTTTTTTGGGGGGGATTGTGTTGATAATTATCCCACCGTGGGGTTCTGCCCTCTCCTCACCCCATTCCTTCCTTTTGGGAGGAGAAAAACAGCCCCAGGTGATTCCACCCTGCCTCCAAACCACCTTTTCCCTGCAAATATCCCCCCAAAAACTGTGAATCCCCAGTTCTTTGCCAGAAACGAAACCATCCCCATCCCTCCCTGCCGAGCGAGGCACAATAAATCCATTTAACACCCAAATTCTCCTCTCCCACTGGCACCCAGAGCTGAATTCTGCCTGGAAAATGCAGATTCAGAGCATCTATTTGAGGTTTTATTCCTCCACCCACGGGCCCTGCTGGAGCAATCTGCTCCCTCCTCGCTGTCAGCGCTGTTAATTATGGCTCAAGATGCTGCTCTGGGCCTGGGCTTGCATTTCCAGGGTGAAAATCTGTTTATTTGCATGGCTGAGGTGATTTCCCCCCTGTTTTGGGGGGTGTTGTTTGGTGTGGAAATCATTTTTGGACAGCTTTAAAATTTCTTCTTTCTTTTCTATTCAAATTAGTGATTAAGGAGTGTGTATATTATTGAAATATACTGAAAAAAAATGGAATTTTGATATAAAAATGGAATATTTCTATCTTTAATTGCAGATCTGCTGCTTCTCCACTCAGAGAAATAGAACAAGGCACCAGGATGGGAGAATTCTTTAATTCTGATTAAATTAAATTAAATTAAATTAACTCCTACCTGTTTGTATTGTTAGCACAGCTTCTCCCAGCCTGAAGGAAAAGAGTGAAAGGGAAAACGGGGAAAAAACGGATTTATTATTTACTTTTCTAATGGGAATAAACAGATAAAAGAAAAGGAAGCCTGGATGTGAAATTCTGCCCTGAGGTCTCATGTTCTGAATGACCCTGAAGTGATTTTTTTTTTAATATTTGAAGGATTCCTCACCTGAATCCTTCCCTAAATTTTCTCCCCAAATCCCAGCTGCAGCACAAACCCCAGGGATTGGTGCAATCCTTGCTCTTTAAAAGGTATTTTTTCTTTAAATCTGTGGCATTTCAGAACTCTTGGATGTTTCCCAGCGGTTCCAGGGGCTGCGGGGGAAGAGAAGGACCCAAAATCTTGCTGTCCCCATGTGCAGAAAAACAGGGAAAAAAACCAGGCCTCAAACGATTGGAATTAATAATTCAAAATTTAACCATTGGAAAAAAGTGAAATCCAGAGAAAAACCCACATTAGTCATCACCATAAGAAAGGAGATCAGACTTGGGGTAAAAACTGGGTGATAAATTCCCCTTTTTTTCCCACTTGGGGGATAAAAAACCCCAATTTTTAGGGAAATTCTTGATTTGGGAATAAAACTTCCAAACCTGGGGCACGATCACGACTCAGCTCGAGCATTTTGGTGCTTTTATGCCAAAAAAATGCAGCAAAAAAACCTCCCCAGGGGCTGCAAGAAAGTGGAATTTGGGGTCTGAGTGCCACCAAACATCCACATTTATCTGTAATTGTTCCATAAATTCAGCAGACGAGAAGGAAAATATTAATTAGACAGACCCTGCCTTTGGCACTAATCACCAGCAGTGACAGCTGAGCCAGCCAGGGGATAAAACACACCCAAAATTTGATTATCAGAATAAATAGCTGAGGAGCAGGAGAAAATTAAAAATAAACGGAGGGGGAAAAATCCATAATCCAACAGCAATTGTGGTGGGGGAATGAAAATTTACCTCCTGCTGGATTTGGGATTCTGGTTTTGGTTTTTCCCTCGGTTTAGGGCTCGATTTGTGGGATTATTTTGTCGCTGAATCCTGAATTTTGGTGGCACAGAAGGAGTAGAAAATGCTGAGAGGTCCCAAATCATCCCTTGGGGTCAGGGTATCCCAACATCCATCCAAAGCCAGGGGCTCATCCCACACAGGGGGAAATGGAAGCAAAATCAGCAAAAATCTAAAAATGCTGAGGTTAAGGGGTGATTTTGAGGTTTCCTGTGATGTCCAGGTGCTCCTCACGGATCTGAATCCTGGATTTAGTCCAGGATTTATCCCAGAGTTTTGTCCCTAAAACCCTCTCTGTTCCCACTGGCCAGCAGAGGACGGATTTTGGTGGAAATTCAGATTTATTTCCCCCCTCTCTCTGTCTCCTTCAGGGCCAAAAGTCACAATTAGCAATTTAGCAAATTAATTAAGTGCCCAAAAAGCGCAGCAAAGTCGTGGGGCCACATCGATCCTGGAGGTGAATCCTCTGCGGGGTTTTGTCCTCGGGATTCTTTGGGATGGATTCCTCGGGATGGATTCCTGGGGATTCTTTGGGATGGATTCCTTGGGATTCCTCGGGATGGATCCTTTGGGATGGATTCCTTGGGATGGATTCCTTGAGATTTCTCAGGATGATTCCTCGGGATGGATTCTTTGGGATTCCTTGGGATGGATTCCTCGGGATTCCTTGAGATACCTTGGGATGGATTCCTTGGGATTCCTTGGGATGGATTCCTCAGAATTCCTCAGGATGGATTTCTCAGAATTCCTCAGGATGGATTCCTTGGGATGGGTTCTTTGGGATTCATCAAGATTCCTTGAGATGGATTTCTCAGGATGGATTTCTCGGGATGGATTCCTCGGGATGGATTCCTCGGGATGGATTCCTTGGGATGGATTCCTCGGGATGGATTCCTCGGGATGGATTCCTCGGGATGGATTCCTTGGGATGGATTCCTCGGGATTCCTTGGGATGGATTCCTCGGGATGGATTCCTCTGGATGCATTCCTCGGGATTCCTCGGGATGGATTCCTCGGGACTCCTCGGGATGGATTCCTCGGGATGGATTCCTCAGGACTCCTCGGGACTCCTCGGGAGGAGCACTCAGCACTGCTCAGCCTCCACAAACCCCTCCTTCTCCTGGCTGGCCGCCTCCACCTCGGCGTACGAGGCCTGGCTGCCGTGGGTGCGGAATTTCATGGCGGGCCAGCGGTGCGGCCTCCGCTGGGGACAGAGACGGGGTGAGAGGGGGAACGGGGAAAAATGGGGAAAATGGGGGGAAAATGGGGAATATGGGGAAAATGGGGGGAATGGGGAAAAAATGGGGAAAAATGGGGAAAAAATGGGGGAAAATGGGGGAAAAATGGGGGAAAATGGAGGGGAAATGGGGGGAAAGAGTCCTGGGCACAAAGGGTGCTGTCGGTGTGAGCGGTTTGAGTGATAAAAGTGGATTTTAAAATGTTGTTTCAGGGTTCAAAAGGGTTCTTCGGAATGCATGGACCTCACTGGATGGGAAGGACACAGATCCAGGAATCTGGGATGGGGGAAGGACACAGATCCAGGGATCTGGGATAGGGAGGATATGGATCCAGGGATCTGAGATGGGGGAAGGACATGGATCCAGGATCCAGGGATCTGAGAAAGGGGAAGGACACAGATCCAGGGATCTGAGATTGTGGGGAGAATACGGATCCAGGATCACAGATCCAGGGATCTGAGATGGGAGAAGAACCCAAATCCAGGGATCTGAGAAAGGAGAAGGACATAGATCCAGGGATCTGAGATGGGTGGGAGGACACAGATCCAGGGATCTGAGAAAGGGGAGGATGTGGATCCCGGGATCTGAGATTGTGGGGAGAACACGGATCTAGGATCAGGGATCCAGGGATCTGAGATGGGAGAAGAACCCAGATCCAGGGATCTGAGATGGTGGAGAGGACCCAAATCCAGGGATCTGAGATGGGGAAGGACACAGATCCAGGGATCTGAGATGGGAGAAGAACCCAGATCCAGGGATCTGAGATGGTGGAGAGGACCCAAATCCAGGGATCTGAGATGGGGAAGGACACAGATCCAGGGATCTGAGATGGGTGGGAGGACACGGATCCAGGGATCTGAGAAAGGAGAAGGACACGGATCCAGGGATCTGGGATGGGTGGGAGGACACGGATCCAGGGATCTGAGATGGGGAAGGACACAGATCCAGGGATCTGAGATGGGTGGGAGGACACGGATCCAGGGATCTGAGAAAGGGGAAGGACACAGATCCAGGGATCTGAGATGGTGAGGATGTGGATCCCGGGATCTGAGATGGTGGAGAGGACCCAAATCCAGGGATCTGAGGTGAGGGAAGGACACGGATCCAGGATCCAGGATCATGGACTGAGGGATCTGGGCTGGCTGGGAAGGACCCAGACCCAGGAGAGCGGGAGGATGAGGATGAGGACGGGACGATTCCCGGGCAGGGCTGAGCTGCTCGCTCACCTCGATGAAGAAGAGGGCGGCGCTGGACGTGGGGTGGCCGCTGACGTAGATCCCGGCCAGGATGGCCCCGGCCAGCACCAGCACGGCCACCACGATGCCCACCACGGTGCCCGTGGGGATCGGGGCGCCCGCGCTCCGCGAGGGAAGGCTGCTCCCTGGGGGGAAAAAACAGCAAGGTCAGGAGGCTTCCAGAAAGCTGTCAAATTATTCTTTTTTAAATTTACTGAATTTTTTTAAATATACAGAATTTAAAATTAAAAATTCTTAATATTCACAAAATTTAAAATTTAAAAATGTAAAAAATTTGAAATCTAAAAAATACAATTTTTTAATTTACAAATTTTAAAAATTACAAATTTTTCAAATTTACTAATTTAAAAAAATTACAATTGTTTAAAATTTACAAATTAAAAAAAATTACAAAAATGCATTATTAAATTATTCAAGTATTTGTTCTATTCATTGCCCAGAATTTAAAAAAATTACAAATTTTTTTAAATTTACAAATTACAAATTTTTCAAATTTACAAATTTTTAAAATTACATTTTTTTAAAATTTACAAATTAAAAAAAATACAAAAATGCATTATTAAATTATTCAAGTATTTTTCTATTCATTGTCCAAATCACAAATTATTACAAACAAAATTAAGTTTAAGAAAAGCCTATACTAAGTAAAAAACCTTTAAATGCTATACTTCTTTTCACTAATAAGTGTTTAAAAAATCATAAATCACTAATAAAAATATAATGTAATATATTGTAATATAATTAATTTAAAAAAATTACAATTGTTTAAAATTTACAAATTAAAAAAAATTACAAAAATGCATTATTAAATTATTCAAGTATTTGTTCTATTCATTGCCCAAATCACAAAATATTACAAACAAAATTAAGTTTAAGAAAAAGCCTATACTAAGTAAAAAAACTTTAAATGCTGTAACTCTTTTCACTAATAAATGTTTAAAAAATCATAAATCACTAATAAAATATAATGTAATATAATGTAATGTAATATAATGTAAGAATAATATAATATAATGTAATGTAATGTAATATAATGTAAGAATAATATAATATAATGTAAGAATAATATAATGTAATGTAATGTAATATAATGTAAGAATAATATCATATCATATCATATCATATCAGAATTAACAATAAACCACATAAATGAAAACCACATAAATCAATAATAATTTAACAAAACCAACCAACCAAAACACAACAATCAAATCTTCAAACAATAAAACCGATTCAAACAATAAAATATAATAAAATAATAAAAATAATCAAATGACAAAAATAATTCAAACAATAAAAACTCTCATCAGGATAAAACAGAGTATTCCCAACTTCTTTCACTGGCTGGAATTGCTAATTGCTAATTACTAATCAAGGTGAGGATAGCAGGAATTGATCACTCTGGGGTGCCTTCCTTACCCTCTCCTCCTGCAAACTGGTTGAGTTTGGTGTCATCTGCAAGGAGAAAAGACAGCAAAGCAGAAAATCAGGAATTTCCTGTGATATCCTCGTGTTTCCCACCCAATTCCTCCCCCCGGGATGGGATTTTGGGCAGTTTTAAATCTCTGTGGGAAAGGAAAAGCCAGGGGCTGAGAGGGGTGTGGGTTTCCTTCACCGAGGTGGCACCTGGAGCACCAAAATCCCCAGGAAGGGGCTGAGGGGTCGGTCAGGAGCACCAAAATCCCCATAAGGGGTCGAGGGGTCGGTCAGGAGCACAAAAATCCCCAGGAAGGGGCTGAGGGGTCGGTCAGGAGCACAAAAATCCCCAGGAAGGGGTCGAGGGGTCGGTCAGGAGCACAAAAATCCCCAGGAAGGGGCTGAGGGGTTGGTCAGGAGCACCAAAATCCCCAGGAAGGGGCTGAGGGGTCGGTCCCTGCTCCCCGGGGGAGCTTGGATCCATCACTGGGTGTCCCTGCTCAGCCCATGGAATCTGCATCCCAAATAAACCCACGGGATGATCAAAATCTCGATCAAATTCCAGTTCTTGGCTCGCTCTGGAAGGAGCAGGATCTACCAGACACGGCTTTGTCCCTCAACAGGCTCCACATGACTGCCCTCACCAGGGTGACATCCTGACCCAGAATTCCCAGGGCTCGGCTTGGATTCCAAATCCTGATCCTGAATTCCCAGGGTTTGGATTCCAAATCCTGATCCTGAATTCCCCAGGCCTTGGTCTTCAAATCCTAATCCTGAATTCCCAGGGCTCAGCCTTCAAACCCTGATCCAGAATTCCCAGGGCTTGGATTCCAAATCCTGACCCAGAATTCCCAGGGCTCGGCTTGGATTCCAAATCCTGACCCAGAATTCCCAGGGTTTGGCCTCCAAATCCCAATCCAGAAATCCCAGAGCTTGGCTTTCAAACCCTGATCCAGAATTCCCAGAGCTTGTCCTCTAAATCCTGATCCAGAATTCCCTGGGGACTCGGCTTGGATTCCAAACCCTGATCCAGAATTCCCAGGGTTCAGCTTCCAAACCCTGATCCAGAATTCCTGGGGCTTGGATTCCAAATCCTGATCAGAATTCCCAGGGCTCGGTTTGGATTCCAAACCCTGTCCAGAATTCCTGGGGCTTGGATTCCAAATCCTGATCAGAATTCCCAGGTCTTGGCCGTGCACCAGAACCAGGGGGCTGGAAGGGCTGGGCAGAATTCCCAGGTCTTGGCCGTGCACCAGAGCTCCAGGAGCAGAACCAGGGGGTTGGAAGGGCTGGAGAGGATGTGGATCCAAAAACGGGGATGGCTGAGGAGGACACAGATCCAGGAGCTGGGATGGTGGGACAGGACACAGATCCAGGATTTGGGATGGTTGGACACGACACAGATCCAGGATCTGGGATGGTGAGGAGGTGGATCCAGGGATCTGGGATGGTGGCACAGATGAAGATCCACCAGTCTGGGCTGACTGGGAAGGACACAGGGATCTGGGATCTGGGCTGGTGGGAAGGATGTGGATCCACAGAACCTGACTGGCTGGAAAAGACACGGATCCAGGAAAGTGGGATGGTGGGGAGGACATGGATCCAGAGATCTGGGCTGGTTGGAGAGGACATAGATCCAGGATCTGGGATGGTTGGAGAGGACACAGATCCAGGATCTGGGATGGTTGGAGAAGACACAGAACCAGAATTTGAGCTGTGGGAAGGACATGGATCCAGGCATTTGGGCTGCTTGGACAGGACACAGATCCAGGGATTTGGGCTGCTTGGAGAAGACACAGATCCAGAATTTGAGCTGGGGGAAAGACACAGATCCAGGATCTGGGCTGGATGGGGAGGACACAGATCCAGGGTCTGGGCTGGTTGGAAGGACACAGATCCAGGGTCTGGGCTGGTTGGAGAAGACACAGATCCAGAATTTGAGCTGTGGGAAGGACATGGATCCAAGATCTGGGCTGCTTGGACAGGACACCGATGGCCAGTTCCCCTCTCTGGTGGAGCTGCTCCCCTGCTGCTCCCCACTCTCCTCCCGCTGCAGCTGCCGCTTGCTCCCTTCCAAGACCACAAATTAACTTCACGCTCTGTGTCACACAGAGCCTCTGGTTCCTTTTTTCCAGGAACCAGCCACGGGCTGGAAAACAATCTGGTGGCGGAGTTCCAACCCTCTCCTCGCCTTTAATTGCTCCTTTCAAAGTCAGCCCTGCCTGGCTCGTTCCCCCACCCAGCTCCTTCCCGGCGCTGAAGGACAATTAGGGGCGCTCCTTTCTATTTATCCTAATTAGCACTTTGCGTTAAGGGCTATTAAGCAGCCAAATCGCGGCGCTACCTGCGCCAGGATCGGCGGAGCCGGCCCCGCGGTAATGGGATTATGGAGTTTCGGACCCCGGGGGTCTCCGGGGAGATCGGGGCTGTTTGTGGGGCTGGAAGAAGCAGCAATCCCAAAAAAAGAGCGATCACCGCGGGAATTCCAGGCGGAGAGTTCTGGCACCAGTGAAACCCAAACCCCTCTCTCTGGGATTGACCCTTTTAGGATCCTGAGGATTCTCCCCACCAAGGCTTGGTGGCTCTCTGACCGTCACAAATGGGTTAAAAAAGCTGGAAAAATCCCAAAACTCTTCCCACCGTGCCTCGCTCCCCCAGGTGTCACCTCCTGGCTGCCCTTCCTTCCCCTTCCCAGCATCTCCTGCTCTCACCCTCCCCAGGATGGGGTTGGGAGCCACCTGGGGTGCGGGAGGTGTCCCTGCCCGGGTCCCTTTGAGGTCCCTTCCAACCCAAATCCTCCTGGGACTCAGGAACTTCACAGATCCAGGGACTGCAGAGGGAGAAATGGGTCACCTGTCCAGGGACACCCCAAGGGCTGGGGTCACCTGTCCAGGGACATTTCCATGGTCGGGGTCACCTGTGCAGGGACACCCCAGGACCAGGGTCACCTGTGCAGGGACATTCCAGGGTCAGGGTCACCTGTCCAGGGCTGAGGTCACCTGTCCAGTGACACCCCAGGGCCAGGGTCACCTGTGCAGGGACACCCCCAGGGTCAGGGTCACCTGTCCAGGGAGGAGGTCACCTGTCCAGTGACACCCCAGGGCCAGGGTCACCTGTCCAGGGACACCCCCAGGGTCGGGGTCACCTGTCCAGTGACACCCCAGGACCAGGGTCACCTGTCCAGGGACAAGGTCACCTGTGCAGGGACACCCCCAGGGCTGGGTTCACCTGTCCAGGGACATTCCCAGGGTCAGGTGACCCTGACCCTGGGAATGTCCCAGGGTCAGGGTCACCTGTCCAGGGACACATCCAGGGTCGGGGTCACCTGTCCAGGGACATTCCCAGGGTCAATGTCACCTGTCCAGGGACACCCCCAGGGCCGGGGTCACCTGTCGGGCACCCACCCTCGGTGGTGAGGCTGTCGAGGAAGAGCGAGGCCGTGGGGGAGGTGACACCGCCGGGCTGCGGGGACACCGAGCTGCCCGGGGGCGCCGAGTAGTGACTGCCCTCCGCCAGATCCTCACAGGTCTTTTCATCCGACTGGTGGGGGGAAAAAGAGAATTTGGGTTAAAAAGGAGAATTTGGGTTAAAAAGGAGAATTTGGAGCTGGTTTTGCCCAGCAGGAATTCCAGGAGGGCTCTGGGAGGTCAAACACTGGAGGGGAAGGAGGGAGGAGGTCAAGAAGTGACCCAGAGGGGGGAGATGGGGAGGAAAATTTGGGATTTCGGCAGGACAAGTGACAAATACTGGGAGAAATCCTGGGGACAAATCCCAGGAGAAGTCCTGGGAAAAATCCTGGGGACAAATCCTGGGACAAATCCTTCGTGCACCTCGGGGTGACCCCATGTGGGTCCAGTGACCTCAAAGGGTCTGGTGACCTCTGGTCCCCTCACTCAACTCTCTGGTGAATAGGAAATAAAGCTGAGTTTTCAGTAGGGAAGTAGAATAAAATCACTTTAAAAAATCCACAAAAGAAAAAAAAACAAACCCAAAAAACATTTTAAAAACCCAGACAAAACCCCCAAACCAAACCAGAAAAAAAAAAAAAACACAAAAAACCAACCCACACACACAAAACCCAAAAAACATTTTAAAAACCCAGACAAAACCCCCAAACCAAACCAGAAAAAAAAAAACACACAAAAAACCAACCCACACACACACAAAAAAACCCAAATAAAAAACCCTATAAAAATCCAAGCAAACAAACAAAACCCACATAAAGCGAATAAAAATAAGGAACAAAATAAATAAAATAAAGGGAAAAAAAAAGAGAAAAGGCCAAAGCAGAAGCAGATGTTTGGTCAGAGCTGATCCCTGCGAGCTCTGGGATCGTTTTGCTCCCAGGGACACAAACAGGGCTCGTCCTTTCCTGCCTGCAGTGAGTAAGAGTCACGCTCCAGGAGGAGGGGGAATAACGGGAAAAATGGGAAAAAAGGGAAAATGGGGATAAAAGGAATAATGGGAATAACGGGGGAAATGGGAATAAAGGGAATAAAGAGATGTAAAGGGAATAAAGGGATATTTAAGGGGAATAAAGAACGAGCTACAGGGGTATCTAAAGGGAATAAAAGGAAATCCCAAGGAAATAAAGGGAAATCCCAAGGAAATAAAGGGAAATCCCAAGGAAATAAAGGGAAATCCCAAGGAAATAAAGGGAAATCCCAAGGATATCTAAAGGGAAATCCAAATGGAAACCCCAAGGGATGCTCAGTCTGATCCAGAACACCCTGGGGCACGCAGAGATGAGCATTCATTTTTTGGGGGCCACGGATTTTGGGGGAACCATGGATTTCCTGTGGCTCAGGCCCAGGAAGGGACTGGGATTTATTTGGGTTGTGACTGGGAGTGTGATTAGGATTGGAACTGGGATTGGGACTGGGATTTATTGGGACTGGGATTTATTGGCTTGGGATTGGAATTGGGACTGAGATTTATTGGGACTGGGATTGATTGGGATTTATTTGGATTGGGACTGGGATTGGGATTTATTGGGACTGGGATTTATTGAATTGGGATTTATTGGGACTGGGACTGGGATTTATTGGATTGGGATTTATTGGGACTGGGACTGGGATTGGGATTGGGACTGGGATTTATTAGATTGGGACTGGGATTAATTGGGACTGGGATTTATTGGATTAGGACTGGGATTTATTTGGATTGGGACTGGGATTGATTGGATTGGGACTGGGATTTATTGGGACTGGGATTTATTTGGATTGGGACTGGGATTTACTGGGGCTCTCGGGCTCACCTGGCCGCAGCCGTAGCTCAGCCACTCCTCCCGGTACCGGTCGAAGCCACTGGAGCACCTGTGGGGATAAAAACCCAGACAAAACCCCCAAACCAAACCAGAAAAAAAAAAACACACAAAAAACCAACCCACACACACACAAAAAAACCCAAATAAAAAACCCTATAAAAATCCAAGCAAACAAACAAAACCCACATAAAGCGAATAAAAATAAGGAACAAAATAAATAAAATAAAGGGAAAAAAAAAGAGAAAAGGCCAAAGCAGAAGCAGATGTTTGGTCAGAGCTGATCCCTGCGAGCTCTGGGATCGTTTTGCTCCCAGGGACACAAACAGGGCTCGTCCTTTCCTGCCTGCAGTGAGTAAGAGTCACGCTCCAGGAGGAGGGGGAATAACGGGAAAAATGGGAAAAAAGGGAAAATGGGGATAAAAGGAATAATGGGAATAACGGGGGAAATGGGAATAAAGGGAATAAAGAGATGTAAAGGGAATAAAGGGATATTTAAGGGGAATAAAGAACGAGCTACAGGGGTATCTAAAGGGAATAAAAGGAAATCCCAAGGAAATAAAGGGAAATCCCAAGGAAATAAAGGGAAATCCCAAGGAAATAAAGGGAAATCCCAAGGAAATAAAGGGAAATCCCAAGGAAATAATGGGAAATCCCAAGGAAATAAAGGGAAATCCCAAGGATATCTAAAGGGAAATCCAAATGGAAACCCCAAGGGATGCTCAGTCTGATCCAGAACACCCTGGGGCACGCAGAGATGAGCATTCATTTTTTGGGGGCCACGGATTTTGGGGGAACCATGGATTTCCTGTGGCTCAGGCCCAGGAAGGGACTGGGATTTATTTGGGTTGTGACTGGGAGTGTGATTAGGATTGGAACTGGGATTGGGACTGGGATTTATTGGGACTGGGATTTATTGGCTTGGGATTGGAATTGGGACTGAGATTTATTGGGACTGGGATTGATTGGGATTTATTTGGATTGGGACTGGGATTGGGATTTATTGGGACTGGGATTTATTGAATTGGGATTTATTGGGACTGGGACTGGGATTTATTGGATTGGGATTTATTGGGACTGGGACTGGGATTGGGATTGGGACTGGGATTTATTAGATTGGGACTGGGATTAATTGGGACTGGGATTTATTGGATTAGGACTGGGATTTATTTGGATTGGGACTGGGATTGATTGGATTGGGATTGGGATTTATTGGGACTGGGATTTATTTGGATTGGGACTGGGATTTACTGGGGCTCTCGGGCTCACCTGGCCGCAGCCGTAGCTCAGCCACTCCTCCCGGTACCGGTCGAAGCCACTGGAGCACCTGTGGGGAAAATCAGGATTATCCAGGGCCAGGCTGTGGAAATGGGAACGGGAAATGTTAAAAACCCCACAGAAGGCTCACAGAGCGTGCCGGAATGCAAACTTTGAGCTGAGAAATGCTGATTTAGAAATGACATGGAGTAGGACAGACGTCGTTGAGAGAAAAATGGAATTAAAAAAACTTTCAAAAGGTGGCCTGGAAAATGAGACTGGATAATTTCAAGAAACAGAACAATTTCATATAATAAAATAGAATATATATATAAATAAAATATAAAAATATGTATAATGGAAGTTGCGTTGTAGTAGGAACCACAAGGGGTAATTTTAGATTATTTTCTTTAAGGTTTTTACAGCATGGGGTGGTTAAAACTGAAAGGCAAAAGGAGAGGGGAAATCAGGGGAAAAGGAGAGGGAAAATGAGGAGAAAAAGAGAGGGGAAACAGGAGAAAAAGAGGGAAAATAAGGCAAAAGGAGAGGGGAAATCAGGGGAAAAGGAGAGGGGAAAATGAGAAAAAGAGGGAAAATAAGGGAAAAGGAGAGGGGAAATGAGGAGAAAGGAGAGGAAAATTGGGAGAAAAGAGAGGGAAATGAGGAGAAAAAGAGAGGGAAAACAGCAGAAAAGAGGGGAAAATCAAGGGAAAAGGAGAGGGGAAATGAGAGAAGGAGAGAGGGAAACAGGAGAAAAGAGAGGAAAATCAGGAGAAAAAGGCAAAACAGGAGAAAGGGAGAGGGAAAAGTCAGGAGAAAAGGAGAGGGGAAATCAAGGGAATTGGAGAGGAAAATTGGGAGAAAAGCAGAGGGGAAATTTGGAGAAAAGGGAGGAAAATTGGGAGAAAAGAGAGGAAAAACAGGAGAAAAGGAGAGGGAAAATGAGGAGAAAAGGAGAGAAAATCAGGAGAAAAAGGGGAAATGAGGAGAGAAGGAGAGAAAATCAGGAGAAAAGGATAGGGGAAATGAGGAGAAAAGGGAGGAAAATTGGGAGAAAAGAGAGGAAAAACAGGAGAAAAGGAGAGGGAAAATGAGGAGAAAAGGAGAGAAAATCAGGAGAAAAAGGGGAAATGAGGAGAGAAGGAGAGAAAATCAGGAGAAAAGGATAGGGGAAATGAGGAGAAAAGGGAGGAAAATTGGGAGAAAAGAGAGGAAAAACAGGAGAAAAGGAGAGGGGAAATGAGGAGAGAAGGAGGGGGAAACAGAAGAAGAGGAGAGGGGAAAACAGGAGAAAATGAGAGGAAAATTGGGAGGAAATGAGAGGGAAAATGAGGAGAGGAGGAGAGGGGAAATGAGGAGAGAGGCCTGGGCTGAGTTTGTGTTTCCATTCCCCGGACTCGGTGCCAGGGCAAGGCTGGGAGACCCACGAGGTTCCCTGGGCTCCTTCCAGCAACATCTGCACAGGAAAAACACTGCAGGAGCTCCGGATGACATCAGGCAAACACCAGGCCGAGAATTCCCTGCAGGAACAGGGAACAGAGCAGAGCTCTGACCTTTGGAAAGGCTCAAACTCCAAATAATTCCTGCAAAAATCAATTTACCCACCAGGGAAAGGAGCAACCACAAAGAAACTTGTGAGATCTTCGCTTAAACCCAGTTCCTGTCACAATTATGAGCTCAGCAGAGGTTAAAAAAAATACAGATTTTATTATTTAGGAGGGAGCTGGGAGCACTCAGGGCTGGAATCACGAGGCTGGGATGTCAGCTCCAAGCCTGGGAAGGATTCTCTGGCTCTGCAGGACCAGCCTGGCTGGTGACAGCGACGACAGTGGCCCTCCTGCCCCAGCTCTCCATTCCCTGCGGAATTCCCAGCGGGAAGCTGAGCTGTCCCCAGGGACACGGGGCTGGCAGCCAGGGTGGCACCGGGGACAGGAGTGAGCACCAGCAACGGCAGCTGGGGGAGAAAGGGTTAAAGAGGGGGAGAAAGGGTTAAAGAGGGTGAGCAGGAGCTGGGATAGAATTCCCAGAGGAGCTGTGGCTGCCTCTGGATCCCTGGAAATGTCCCAGGAGCAGCCTGGGACAGGGGGAGGTGGCACTGGGGTGACACTGGATGGGATTTGAGGTTTCTTCCAACCCAAACCATTCCAGGATCTGATAAAATCCCATTTGCCAAACCCTGGAATTGGGAACAAGCAGGACAAGGAAGGATCTGAACAAGGCTCAGCCCAAACCAGATCCCTGGAAGTGTCCCAGGAGCAGCCTGGGACGGTGGGAGGTGGCCCTGGTGGCTCTGGGGTGGCACTGGGTGATATTTGAGGTATTTCCAACCCAAACCATTCCAGGATCTGATAAAACCCCTTTTAGGATTGGGAACAAGCAGGACAAGGAAGGGTTTGAACAGGGTTCAGCCCAAACCAGACCCAGGCTCAAGTTTTGCCACCAAAGCCACACCGGGGCTGACCACGATGAGAATGTCCCCGTGCCACTGCCACTGCCAAGTGCCACCAGCCTGGCTCGGGGGTGTCACAGGGACTCAGGGCTCCTTGGGGTGGCTCGGGGGACGGGGAGGGGGTGGCAGGTGCCCTCAGCAGAGCGGGGTTTCCACGGCACAGGATCTGTGTTACTGGGTCCCCTCCCCTGCCACCAGCTCTCAATAAATCCTGCAGCTCAGTCTCATTAAATCTGCTCTGCACAGCCCTGCCCGAGCTGGGGGAGAGCAGGGACAGCTCCACGTCCTCCATTCAACCCCAAAAAATCAGCAAACTCCCCCTCCCACACCTTTGCTGGCCCCGTTCCTGACGAGCAGGGGCTGTCCCACACAGAATGTCCCCAACGCTGTCCCCTCCCTGCACTTCCACTGATCCCAGCCCGAGTCAGGACAAGTTTTCCCCATTTTTAAGCCCGCTGACAAAAATCTGAGTCCTGCCTCAGGTCCCAGCTTGTTCCAGGAATAAAAACCCCAGGAAATGCAGCTTGGAATTGGAGATGAGGTCACGGCTGAACCACGACTGTGCGGCCAAGAGCAGCACCCCAGCACCCAAAAAGCAACAAAAAATGGGAAATAATTTAAAAAAAGGCAGGAACACTGAGGGAAGAGCCCGGGGCAGCAGCCAGGGCAGGGCAGTACCTCTGCAGGACGTGGCACCAGCTGCAGTTGAAGGTCAGCTCCGAGCCCAGGCACGTTTCACAGCTCTGGTGCTGCAGGCAGGCTGCAAAACACAGAGCAGAGGCTGCAGCCAGGCTGGGGCAGCAGCTCTCTGGCCACAAACACAGCTTCCCCAAGCACCATTCTTGGAAAAGCTGGGAGAAAATCAGAGAAAAAAAAATACAAACAATTCTCATGTCCAAAACAATTCTTATCTCAACTTGCTGTGAATGTGGAGAATGTGTTATGGAGGTTTGTCTGCCAAAGCAACAAATCCCAATTACCCAAAGGTGAAGGTGTTTTAATTAGAAGACCAATTAGGTCTACCTGTAGCAAACAAGGGTATAAAAGTTTATTAATAAATATTAATAATCAGCTTTCTGTGAATGCATGGGGTCTGTGTAACTCATTACCCATTCCTGCCCTGCTGGGCTGGCACCAGATGCCAACACCTGCAGGGCACAGGGGAGCAGCTGGGGCAGTGTGGCAGCAGCTCTCTGGCCACAGAGACAAACACAGCTTTCCCAAGCACCATTCTTGGAAAAGCTGGGAGAAAATCAGAGGAAAAAAAAAGAGAAACAATTCTTATGTCAGCTTGCCGTGTTGTGAACATGGAGAATGTGCTATGGAGGTTTGTCTGCCAAAGCAACAGCTGCTCCCTGGGGACCCCAGGATGGGGTCAGCTGCTCCCCAGGGACCCCAGGATGGGCTGAGCTGCTCTCCAGGGACCCCAGGACGGGCTGAGCTGCTCTCCAGGGACCCCAGGACGGGGTCAGCTGCTCCCCAGGGACCCCAGGATGGGGTCAGCTCCTCCCTGGGGACCCCAGGATGGGGTCAGCTCCTCCCTGGGGACCCCAGGATGGGGTCAGCTCCTCCCTGGGGACCCCAGGATGGGGTCAGCTCCTCCCTGGGGACCCCAGGATGGGGTCAGCTCCTCCCTGGGAACCCCAGGATGGGGTCAGCTCCTCCCTGGGGACCCCAGGACAGGCTGAGCTGCTCCCCAGGGACCCCAGGACGGGGTCAGCTCCTCCCTGGGGACCCCAGGATGGGATCAGCTGCTCTCCAGGGACCCCAGAACGGGCTGAGCTGCTCTCCAGAGACCCCAGGACGGGCTGAGCTGCTCCCCAGGGACCCCAGGACGGGGTCAGCTCCTCCCTGGGGACCCCAGGATGGGATCAGCTGCTCCCCAGGGACCCCAGGAGCTGCTCCCTGCTGACAGCACCCCCTCCCTCCAGCACTCCCCAGACCCCAGACCCCAGCAGACGGGCGGCATCGCCCTCCCAGCACCCCTGGCTGCCTCCTCAGGCTGGAATTCGGAGGCTGCTGGGGTTTGTGGGTGGCACTTGGGGTGCCCAAGGGGCAGGGCACTCACTGGGCAGCGGGGTGAACTCCACAGCTGACAGGCTGCTGATCCTGCTGGTGTCCAGCTCCACGCGGTGGTACTCGTAGATCGTGCGGCGCCGGGACTCTGCAACAGAGCCTGCCCTTTAAACCGGGCTTAAACCCCCCTGGCCAGGGTTAGGCCGGGCTCTGGGGGAGCTGCTGAAAGGCACAGGCGGCCCCAGGGGTGGGGTTGTGCCCTTGGGGGTGCAGGAGGAGGGCTGGGGTGGGAAATGGGTTTGTAGGAGATTCTCAAAAGCTGCCAGGAGGGAGGACGGGTTGGGGTTCGTGTCAGGGGAACAGCTGCCCATTAAGGGGAAAAATAAAGGGTAAAAATTCCCGCTTTTTCTTTTCAAGTGGATCAGGGCAGGGCTGTGGGCTGGGAGCAGCATTTGTGACATTGCCGGGGATGGAATCACAGGGTCACATCCTGCTCCAGGGCAGCAGCGTCCCCATTCCTGGGACACCTGGAACTGCTCCCCAATCAAGGAACCCCCACTTTGGGCACCTGGAACTGCTCCCCCCATCCAGGAACCCCCACTCTGGTCTCTCTGGGCTCCTGGAACTGCTCCCCAATCCAGGAACCCCCACTTTGGGCACCTGGAACTGCTCCCCCCATCCAGGAACCCCCTCCTGGGACACCTGGGACACCTGGAACTGCTTCCCAATCCAGACACCCCTTCCCTGAGCCCCTGGAACTGCTCCCCCATCCAGGAACCCCCTCCTGAGCTCCTGGAACTGCTCCCCAATCCAGGAACCCCCACTTTGGGCTCCTGGAACTGCTCCCCCACCAGGGCTAGCAGCCCACGCTCTCCAGTGGCCCCCACTCCTCATCTCCTCTCCCACCCTGAGATCCCCCAAAGCATTTTGGGCAGAGGCTGCTCCAAATCCGTGACCCCAAACTGGAAGGTTTGGGGTCAATCTCCTTCTTCAGAGAAGAAATTTGGAGTGCAACGTCACTTTGGGCTGTGAAGCAGCGCTTGTGGAACTTTGATTCTGCTTGGCTGTAGCTTCAGCAGCTTTTTTCTAGCAGAACTCTCACCTACCAATGATTGTGGGGTTTTTAAAATGAGTGTCTGTGTACAAACCTTGAGATAAGGAATGCTGGCTTTAAGGCATTTACAGCATGGCGTGGCAAAAGCTGGTAAGCCAAAAAACACTGATAGTGTTTTGTAATTAGGAAAAAATTGGCTTCTGATTGTGGTGGCGTGAATTATAACATCTGTACGCTCTCGCCCTTCACACCAGAGTGAAAATAGAATAAAAGTTTTTTAAACGCCTCTCAGTTTTCCCATCTCTGGGTCAGAAAAAAACTTCATCCAGCAGGTTGGGAGGTGCCAGGGCACAGGAGGGGCTCGGAGCTGGCCCGGCCCAGCCCAGCTCGGCTCAGCCCTGCCCCCTCTCCGGCCAGAGGCTCCAGCCCCGAGCCGCTCCCAAAAGCTCCAAACAAACATCACCCGGCTCTGACTCACGGCCTGGAGCCTCCCCCGATGCCTCAGGTTTTGGTTTTTGTGTTTTTCAGACTCTGAGCTGCTTCAGTGTGTGGGTCTGGGTTCACATCAGGGGATGGTGAGCTCTGTGCACAGAGCAGGGAGACAAAACAATTCCTGCTCCAGCTGGGGACCAAGGACAAGTGATCCAAATTCACCCCAAGAGCACAAACAGGAGAGAAAAACAAGGATGGGACTGCATAACCTACAGCTGGAACTGAACTCCAATACGCAAATGGAGCAGAACTCATAAAAATGAGAGACCCTGTGACCTTGTCCATTTTAGTGACCATTTGGGGTTCATTTTGTGACCATTTTGGTTCATTTTGGGTTCATTTTGTGACCATTTGGGATTCATTTTGTGACCATTTGGGGTTCATTTTGTGATAATTTTGGCTCACTTTGGGTGCAGCCCTGGCTGGGCTCTTGTGCTGCCCAAGGTGGATCCATTGAGGAGATCCTTGGAATAAATCCCTAATTTATTCTGTAGCTCTGCCTCAGTCCCAGCTCATCCTTCTCACCCTCAGCTCCCAGGGCTCCTTCCCCCCCAGAATCTCCTCCTGTGCCCCCTTCCCCGGGGCCAGCGGGGTCTGTCCCCGCTCAGGGTGGTGGCACATGCCAGCTGCTCCTCTGGCACCGCCTTTGGCAGCTCCGAGCCCCCGCAGGGCTGAGCAGGACGAGCATCCCCGGCTGCTCTCCGTCCCTCCCAGCCCTGCTTCTCCACCCCCCGGCCCCTTCCTGCCCCTGCTCTGCCCTCGCAGCCCGGGCAGGGCTCGGGAGCTCCGCGGGGACCAAGGGAGCGGCTCAGGAGGGGAGGGAGCGCCCAGCCCGGCCGGGCTCTGACACAAACCCGGGAATAACCCGGGCCAGATGGCTCCGGAATCACGGGGAGGAGCAGGGCTGGGCTCTGCGTGACTGGGAGGGACTTTTTTGGGGAGAAGTGCAGGTCAGGGCACACGGGGAATAAGCATCACCACATCCCAGGGATGAGAGCATCCCCACATCCTGCTGACAGAGCTCTGACACACCCCGGGGCAGCTACCCCCCGGCCCCTTCCTGCCCCTGCTCTGCCCTCGCAGCCCGGGCAGGGCTCGGGAGCTCCGCGGGGACCAAGGGAGCAGCTCAGGAGGGGAGGGAGCGCCCAGCCCGGCCGGGCTCTGACACAAACCCGGGAATAACCCGGGCCAGATGGCTCCGGACTAAGGGAGGAGCAGGGCTGGGCTCTGCGTGACTGGGAGGGACTTTTTTGGGGAGTCCTGCTGGTCAGGGCACACGGGGAATAAGCATCACCACATCCCAGGGATGAGAGCATCCCCACATCCTGCTGACACAGAGACAGAGCCCTGACACGCCCCGGGGCAGCAGCAGAGCCCCCAAACCTCTCATTTCCATGGGAATGGGGCAGCCTGCACCCCTCCCGAGCCTCTTGTCCATCTGCATTCCATCCTGTGGGGTGCAAGGGTTGGGTTTCCCTCCTCTTCCTCATCAGGGAAAAGCTCATGGAGGTTGTGGACTGGGCAAAGTTCCAGCCAGAGCATGAGGCCAGGGGGAGATGCATCCCAAAAAAGGGATCCCAAAAAGAGATCCCAAAAGGAGATACTAAAAAGAGATCCCAAAAAGGGATCCTAAAAGGAGATACCCAAAAAGGGATCCCAAAAAGAGATGCCAAAAAGGGATCTCAAAAGGAGATACCAAAAAGGAGATACCAAAAGGAGATCCCAAAAAGGGATCCCAAAAGGAGATCCCAAAAAGGGATCCCAAAAAGAGATGCCAAAAAGGAGATCCCAAAAAGGGATCCCAAAAGGAGATCCCAAAAGAGGTGCACAGGGAAGGTGAGGAGCAGGCAAACCCCACATCCCTCCTCACACTCGCTGGGAATCCAAGCAGGGCATCCTCACACCCCAAAATCCCCCAAGACGAGGATCCCGCCGCTCTCCCTGTGGGACCAGCTGCCCCAGGGACTCACCAGGCACGTCAGGAGCAGGGTTGAGCACCATGAAGGCGTCGGAGAGCCCGGCCTTCACGGGGTGCTGGCTGGCGCTGATCTGCAGGACCGGCACCGGGATCTGCCCAGGGACAGAGGAATTCCAGCCCCAGGAATGTCCAACCCCCTCCCAGCCCCGCAGGGACCCCCCCAGGCCCCCTCCAGCCCCATCTCACCTCCTTGTAGCCGAAGACGATCCTCCCGCTGCTGTGCAGGGCGGCCTGGAAGGTGAAGCTGCCCATGTCCTCCTTGCCCTGGAGGTAAACCTTGTCCCACTGCACCACAAACACCGTCCCTGGGGGCGACCAGAGCTGCTCAGCCCTTCCCTCTCGCCCTGCTCCAGCAAGCCTCCATCTCACCCCCCAGCCTCCAGCACCCACTGGGAGCAGAGCGAAATTCTGGATCCGTTCCTGCCCCCAGGAGACAGCTGAGCCCTCCTGGCCGAGGAGGCTGCACTCACCATTGTCCAGGTACTGCACGGTGGAGTTTGGGGAGTAGCTGGGGTTGAAGTTGGCCATGAGGGGGGCGATGTACTGCGTGGCCGTGAGCATGCGGTGGATGACGTCCCCCGTGAAGATGAAACCTGGGCGGGCAGAGGATGGGGCAGAGCACGCTCGTCCTCCTCCTCCTGCTCTCCCACCACCCTGCTCTGCCTCGCCCATGGCTTTTTTTATCCCTCTGGATTTCCTCTCTGGTCCTTTTGTGTCCCTCCAATCTCTGCAGGAGCAGAGGGAGCAGCAGCTGCTGACTCCCCCAGGAGATTTGGGGTGCAGGGAGGGCTTGGAAGGGCTGGACCCCGATCTCTGAGCTCCCTGGGGCTCAGGGGTGTGGGGTGAGGGTGGAGCCAGCGCCAGAGCCGTGTCCGGCCCCACTGTGGGCATTGCATCCCATCCTGTCCATCCTGTCCCATCCCTTCTCGTCCAGTCTGCATCCAATTAATGGAATCCATGGATTCCATCCCATGGAACCCTTGGATCCCATCCCATCCCATTCTGTGGACCCCATCCCATCCCATGGATCTCATGGATCCCATGCCATGGATCCCATGCCATCCCATGGATCCCATCCCATCCCATGGATCCCATCCCATCCCATGGATCCCATCCCAACCCATGGATCCTGTCCCATGGATCCCATCCCATCCCATGGATCCCATGGATCCCGTGGATCCCATCCCATCCTGTCCATCCCATGGACTCCACCCCATCCCATGGATCCCATGGATCCCATCCCATGGATCCCATCCTACCCCATCTTGTGGATGCCATCCCATCCCATCCCATGGATCCCATTCCATCCCATGGATCCCATCCCATGGATCCCATGGATCTCATGGATCACATCCCATGGATCCATCCCATCCCATGGATCCCATGGACTCCATCCCACGGATCCCGTGGACCCCAGCCGTGTCCCGGTCCCCGCTCACCGCCGGTGGCGATGGTGACCTGCCGCAGGAGGTGGCCGTAGAAGGGGAAGTCAAAGGACAGGACAATGTTCTGTGGGGTGGAGAGGAGGGAGAGCCACGCTCAGCCCTGGACACCGGGAGGGGGGAGAGGGGTGGGAGAGGGATGGGGAGAGAGGGATGGGGAGAGAGAGGGGTGGGAGAGAGAGGGATGGGAGAGAGAGAGGCATGGGAGAGAGATGGGAGAGAGAGAGGGATGGAAAGAAGGATGGGAAAGGCAGGAGAGAGGGATGGGGAGAGAGGGAGGGATGGAGAGAGAGATGGGAGAGGGATGGAGAGAGAGGGATGGGAGGGAGGGAGGGAGGGACCCTGCAGGTTCCTTCCTCCCTGGAAACAACAGAACTTCCCAACCCCTGAAACTTCCCAACCCCGTCACAGGGGGACACTTAGACAGGCGTGGGGACACGGGAACAGGTGTGGGGACATGGGAACGGGCGTGGGGACACGGGGACGGGTGTGGGGACACGGGGACGGGCGTGGGGACACAGGGACGGGCGTGGGGACACTTGGACAGGCGTGGGGACACAGGGACGGGCGTGGGGACACGGGAACGGGTGTGGGGACACGGGAACGGGTGTGGGGACACGGGGAGGGCGCGGGGACACGGGGAGGGCGCGGGGCTCACCGAGGCCTGCCGGTGCGTGTTGGAGAGGATCCTGTGCACCTTGACGTGGCTCCTGTTGGCCGCCGCCATGTCCACCCAGAGCCCGCGGCGCCGCGCGTCCCCCGGGCCGTAGAGCCGCGACACGTAGTAGCTGTGGTTGTCCTCCTGAGGGGACAGGGGACACGGGGACACGGTGGCGTAGGGTGGCACGAGGGGTGGGAGGGGGCTGGGCAGATGTGGGGGGGTTCCTGGCACGAAGCGGGGATAAAGCCAGGGAAAATCAGGGGGAAATCTGGGATAAATCCAGGGAAATCAAGGATAGCATGGGTAAATCTGGGGAAAATAATGGATAAACCCAGTGTGGAAAAGTAGGGATAAATCCAGGAAAAATCCTGGAAAAATCTAGGATAAATCCGGGATTAACTCAGGAAAAACCTGGGATAAACCCAGGATAAACTCAGGAAAAAATCCTGGAAAAATTTGGGATAAATCCAGGATAGATCCGGGATAGATCCAGAACAAACCCAGAACAGACCCAGAAAAAATATGGGATAGACCCAGGAAAAACCCAGGGAAAATCGAGGATAAATCCAGGTTAAATCTAGGATAAATTCAAGATAAATCCAAGATAAATCCAGGATAAATACAGGATAAATACAGGAAAAAGCCAGGATAAATCCAGGAAAAAACCAGGATAAATCCAGGAAAAAAATCCAGAAAAAAAATCCAGAGTCAAGCACACGAGCCCGGAGGAAATGAGGAACCTTGGCAGGAGCAGCCCGGGAGGGTGGGGATGGGGAGCAGGGTCGGGATGTGCTCCAGGGTGACACCCCCGAGGCTCTGGGAGGGAGCAGCTTTGTTGTCACCCAGAGAGAGGCTCTGTTGGATGAAGCTTTTTTCTGACCCAGAGATAGGGTTTTTAAAAGTTTTATTCTATTTTTAGCCCCATGTGAAAGATGAGGCAACACAGATGTTGTGATTTATGCCATTGCTCCTAATATTGATCTCGTTCTGTAACATTTCTAAACCAACATTTCTTATCTCAGTGTTTACACACAAAGGCACGCCACGTGAGCTTAAAGAGTTCTCAACAAATTCATTTCCCACATTACCCCAAGTGTCCCCCAGCACCCCCTGAGCCCCCTCTCCGTGGTGACACTGCCCAGGTTTAACTGTTGTTTTTTTTTTTTTTTTTTTTATTTGGGGAATTTTTTTTTAGAGAAGTGTAGAAAATTGTTTATTAAACAATAAAATTTGAATAATATCAATTAATAAAATTCTATATTAAAATACCCCCAAACTTGGGGTATTTTGGGAAGAGAGAGGGGAAAAAACCCCTCCAGGGCCTGCACAGGCTGAGCTGCACCTGTGACCTTGTCCGTGGCCCCAATCCAGGGGCAGATCCCAAAAAATTTCCCAGGAAATTGCTGCCTTTCCCTCCACAAGCACCACCACACCCTCCCTGTGGTTCCCCAGCATCTCCAAAAGGTCACGGCGGTTTTGGGGCTGCTTTGGGGTATTTTTAAACTGGGATTTCTCACGGCTCCTCTCCATCCCCAAAGGATGAGCTGGAAGCAGCCACTTCGTCCCCCGAGGGCCACCAAAAGCAGCGGGGACAAGTCACCGTCCTCCAAAAACCCCTCTCACATCCCCCACCGAGAGCGCAGGGAACTCCCGCCGCTGCCACAAATAACCCGCAGCTAATTGAGGGCGGGTAATTAGGCTGGGAGAGCCGAGGGAGGTGTCCCACAAGGTGACAGCGAACAGAGCACCCCCCCCGAGCAGCGACACCGGGGGACAGCGGCGTTGTCCCCACGTGTCACCCGCGCTGCGAAGCACCCGGGGATGGAGCGGGAGCCATCCCGGGGCTGTAATTATCCTCTAGGGTGTAATTAACCTCTCTGGGGTGTAATTATCCCCGCTGGGATGTGGGATCCGGCACCACAGAGGAAGCGGAGCCAGGCTGGGAATGGCTCGGGCGGAGGGAGGGGAGCGGGGCACGGATCCGGGCGGGGGTCGGGAATCAGGGATAGGGGCAGGGATCCGGGCGGGCGTCGGGGATCGGGACACAGATCTGGGATCCAGGCGGGGGTCGGGGCAGGGATTCGGGATCCGGGCCGGGGTCGGGACACAGAACCGGGCGGGGATCGGGGGTCGGGGCAGGGATCCAGGCGGGGGTTGGGGGACAAATCCCGGAGGGGATTTGGAATCAGGGATAGGAGCAGGGATCCGGGCGAGGGTCGGGGATCAGGGCACAGATCCAAGCGGGGGTCGGGGATCGGGACACAGAACCGGGCGGGGATCGGGGGTCGGGGCAGGGATCCAGGCGGGGGTTGGGGGACAAATCCCGGAGGGGATTTGGAATCAGGGATAGGAGCAGGGATCCGGGCGAGGGTCGGGGATCAGGGCACAGATCCAAGCGGGGGTCGGGGATCGGGACACAGAACCGGGCGGGGATCGGGGGTCGGGGCGGGGATCCAGGCAGGGGTCGGGCGTCGGGGCAGGGATCCAGGCGGGGGTTGGGGGACAAATCCCGGAGGGGATTTGGAATCAGGGATAAGGGCAGGGATCCGGGCGAAGGTCGGGGATCGGGACACAGATCCGGGATCCGGGCGAGGGTCGAGGATCAGATCCGGGCGGAGGTCGGGGATCCAGGCAGGGGTCGGGGACTCACCACGATGCGGGTCTCGTTGGCCGGCAGGGTGTCGATGGCCAGGCTGCCGCCCGCCAGGTCCTGGCTGATGCGGGTCCCCTCGGCGTCCCTCGCCCTCCGTCCCTCGCTGCCGGGGGGGCGTCCTGGGGGCACACAGGGAGGGAGGGGTCAGTGGCACCCCTGGGGGCAGCGGTGCCCCCTGTGACACGAGTTTGAGGGGTCTGAGCCTCGAGGGACGGGGATGGAGAGGCGGGGAAGGGTCGGGGGTGGCCGCAGGTGCGGGGACAGGTGACAGCGACAGGACAGCTGGGGACAACACCCACGAATGGCACCGGCGCGACCCCGGCGAGGGGAAAGCGACACCGCTGTGGCACCGGTGTGGCCGTGTCCTCGATGTCCCCAAGCAGCCCGGCCTGGGACGGGGTCCGCGTGTCGGGGCAGCTCCCAAGGATGCAAAAAGCGCCTCCCTCGCCCCCTCCACGCATCCCCCCAGCCCCGCGGGGGCCGGAATCACGGCTGGGGAGTGCGGGGGGAGGATAAAAAAGGCATTTGGGACCAAATCTGCCGAGAATCGGGAGGTTTCTGGCAGCGCGGCGCGGGCGGGGGCGGCGGGGACGGCACGCGCTCGTCTGTCCCCAAGCGGGGACACGGCACAGCCCCCCCCGCCCGCGGGAGGGGGTCCCACCGCCACCCCCCGGGAGCTGATTGCTAATTGCTGCCTAACGAGCTCCCGGGGCTGGGTTCTGCTGCCGGGTCTCCGGGAGGGGAAACTGAGGCAGGGGGGGAGCGGGGCTGAGCTTGGACGTAGGGACAGAGAGGGGCTCGGTGACATCCCTGGGGGGCACAGTGCGGGCCCTGTGGGGTGTCCAGAGAGCACAGACCCCCCCGAAGGCTCCCCAAAATCTCCCCCCCAGCCAGGACAGCGCCAGCCGTGCCACGGGAGGGGGGGGGGGAAATCCCGCGTGGGGACCCCCCAGCAGCGGGGACACAGCCCCCCCACTCTGCCCCAGCACAGAGCGGGGGTCCGGGCACCCCCCCCTTGGCCGCGGAGATGCGGGGGGGGCACGGGGAGGGGACCCCCACCCGCGGGGTGCAGCGGGACACGCAGCTGCGGGCTCGGGGGGCACGGAGACACCCCCAAAGCACAGCAGGGAGGGGACACACCGACCCTCGGGACCCCCGGGCAGACCCCCAGGGCACCCCCCAGCCCCCCCTACCTGCGCCCAGCGCCCCGCGGAGCAGGCAGAGCAGGAGGAGGGACCCCCAGAGCATGGTGGGGGTCGGGGGGCTCAGCGCCCCGCCATGGGCCGGGACCCCCGGGAGCCGCGCACCGAGCGGAGCCGGAGCCGGAGCCGGGCGGGGCCTGGGGCGGGGCCGGGGGTGGGCATGGAATTGGGGAGGGAGAGGAGGGGCAGGGATGGAGCCCGAGCCGGCAGCAGGACCCCCCTGCTGTTGGGGGGCTTCGGGAATGTTCCTCCATCCCGGGCTGGGCCGGCGCCCCCCACCCTGAGCGACATCTCCGGGTGCTCACCCCTTCCCCCCCCGCCCACCACCCCGAGTTTTTGGGGTCCGACTTGGGACAGCAGCGAGGTTTGGGGTCCCCCGGGCTGTCCCCTGGGGTGACCCCGCTCTGGGCTGAGCCCGCCGCCCCCCCGAGCCACGGGGTCGCTGCACCCCCTCATTTTGGGGGTCACCTCACCCCCACCCAAGCCCAGCCGGGTTCCCCATGCCCAGACCCCTGGGGGCGCGTCCCGGCTGCCGCAGGGTTTGGACCCCCCCGATCCCCCCCTTGGAGAAGGAACGGCGGGTTTTGGGGTCCTGGGGGGCACAGGGTGGGGGGCACAGGGTGGGGGTCCCGCGGGCACCGCAGACCCCCGGAGCAGCCCGAGCCTGCAGCTCCCGCATCCAGCCAAACCCACTGCTGGCCGCGCCATAATTTGGGCAGCGTTTTGGGGGGCTCCGGCTGCACCCCAGCCCCCTGGTGCCAGGGCGGGAGGAGGGGTCGGACCCCCCCCCAGAAATGTGCCCCATCAGGGCGATGCTGACCCCCCCATCCCTGCCGGGCAAAGCCGGGGGGCGCGGGGACAATGTGAGGGTCCCGCGGCTGAGGGGGGAAATGGGGGAAAGCGAAATTTTTGGGGATCCCCGAGAGCTGGGTCCGTCCTGCTCCAAAGCAAAGCGGGGACCCCAGAGCAGACCCGGGAGAATGGGGGAGCCTGGGAGGCAGAACGCGGCCTCCCCTCGCTGCTGGGGTGTTGGGGGGCAAATAAAAAGGGTGAGGAAAGCAGAGTGGGGACCCCCCGAAAAGGGGAGGAAAACAAGGGGGCACCCGGATTTGAACCGGGGACCTCTTGATCTGCAGTCAAATGCTCTACCACTGAGCTATACCCCCGCTGCCGAGCGCTGCCCGCCGCCGGCAATAGCACTGGCACTGAGTGCCAGGGCGGGAGGAGGGGTCGGACCCCCTCCCCAGAAATGTGCCCCATCAGGGCGATGCTGACCCCCCCATTCCTGCCGGGCAAAGCCGGGGGGCGCGGGGACAATGTGAGGGTCCCGCGGCTGAGGGGGGAAATGGGGGAAAGCGAAATTTTTGGGGATCCCCGAGAGCTGGGTCCGTCCTGCTCCAAAGCAAAGCGGGGACCCCAGAGCAGACCCCGGAGAATGGGGGAGCCTGAGGGGCAGAACGCGGCCTCCCCTCGCTGCTGGGGTGTTGGGGGGCAAATAAAAAGGGTGAGGAAAGCAGAGTGGGGACCCCCGAAAAGGGGAGGAAAAACAAGGGGGCACCCGGATTTGAACCGGGGACCTCTTGATCTGCAGTCAAATGCTCTACCACTGAGCTATACCCCCGCTGCCGAGCGCTGCCCGCCGCCGGCAATAGCACTGGCACTGAGGGGGGGGCACTGCCAGGGACACCCCCACCCACACAAACACACACCCACGGACACCCCCGAGCCACCGACACCCCCAAACCGGGACTCTCCCCGTCACAGACACCCCCAATCCAAGGCTCCCCCACCCACAGTCACCCCTCAATCCCTGACACCCCCAATCCAAGACACCCCCAGTCACAGACAGCCCCCAATCCCTGACACCCCCAATTCAAGACACCCCACAAACACGGACACCCCTCAGTCCAAGGCTCCCCCACCCATGGACACCCCTCAATCCCTGACACACCCACCGACACCCCCAAACACAGACACCCCATGCCCACGGATACCCCAAATCCCGGACACCCCCAAACCAGGACTCCCCCAGTCACAGACACCCCCCAATCCCTGACACCCCCAATCCCAGGCTCCCCCACCCACGGACACCCCACAAACACGGATACCCCAAATCACGGACACCCCTCAATCCCTGACACCCCTCAGTACGAGACACCCCACACCCACTGACACCTCCAATCCAAGACTCCCCCAATCACAGACACCCCACAAACATGGACACCCCCAGTCCCTGACACCCCCAATCCCCGACACCCCTCAAACGGATCCCCCAAATCCCGGACACCCCCAAACCAGGACTCCCCCAGTCACAGACACCCTCCAATCCCAGGCTCCCCCACCCACGGACACCCCACAAACACGGATACCCCAAATCACGGACACCCCTCAATCCCTGACACCCCTCAGTACGAGACACCCCACACCCACTGACACCTCCAATCCAAGACTCCCCCAATCACAGACACCCCACAAACCCCCCCCTTGGAGAACCCTGACACCCCCAGTCCCTGACACCCCCAATCCCCGACACCCCTCAATCCCTGACACCCCCCAATCCCAGACATCCCAAATCCCGGACACCCCCAGTCCCTGATACCCCACAAACACGGACACCCCACAAACACGGACATTCCCCAATCCCTGCACCCCCTATCCCAGACATCCCAAATCCCTGACACCCCACAAACACGGACACCCCCACTCACGAAACCCCCTCCCACCCACGGACACCCCCCAGGGGGACACCCCCACTCCCGGACCCTTTTGGGCTTTGGGGGCCGATCTGGGACACCGGCGATGTTTGGGGTCACCCCCTGGGGTAACCCCGCTCTGGGCTGAGCCCCCCACTCAGGGACACCCCCACCCCAATGTCCCCCACCGGCCGGGGACGCACAGAGACCCCCCCAAAACCCCCAAAACCCCCAAAACCCCAAAACCCCCGGGGCAGCCCCAGCGCTCACCCCGCAGCTTTGGGGGTGCGTGGGACCCCCCCAAACTGCCAGACGGGCGGTTTGGGGGGGCAGAGCCGCCTCCCGGGACCCCCGTGGCGCTGGGGGGGGGGATTATCCGGAGATGTCGCGGCGCAGCGGGGGACGGATGGGGACAGGGCCGGTGCCCCGGAGCGGGGTCAATATTTGCTGCCAAAGCCGCCGGGCAAACACGGGGGGCTCGGGGGGGCCGGGTCCCGGCGGATCGCCGGTCCCCGAGCAGCGGGAGGAAAGTTTGGGGTCACCCCCGTGTGCCTGTGTCACCCCCGCGGTGTCACCCCCGGGGAAACTGAGGGGGGGGGAAATGTAGGGGAGGGGGATGGTCAGATTGTCACCTCGAGGTGTGGGGGCACGCAGGGCACCCCAAAATCAGCATTCCGAGCTGTGGGGGCGCACAGGACACCCCAAAATCATTCCGAGCTATGGGGGCACACAGGACACCCCAAAATCAGCATTCCGAGCTGTGGAGGGGCACACAGGACACCCCAAAATCAGCATTCCGAGCTATGGGGGCACACAGGACACCTCAAATTGTACCCAAAATTATTCCGGGTTATGGGGGCACACGAGACACCCCAAAATGTGCCCCAAATCATAATTCTGAGCTATGGGGCACACCGGACACCCCAAATTGCCATCCCGAGGTGTGGGGGCACACAGGACACCTGAAATGGTACCCAAAATTATCATTCTGAGCTGTGGGGCACACAGGGCGCCCCAAACTGTGCCCAAAATAATTCCGGGTTATGGGGGCACACGAGACACCCCAAAATGTGCCCCAAATCATCATTCTGAGCTGTGGGGCACACAGGGCACCCCAAACTGTGCCCAAAATAATTCTGGGCTATGGGGGCACACAAGACACCCCAAAGTGTGCCCCAAATCATCATTCTGAGCTGTGGGGAGCACGCAGGACACCCCAAAATCATTCCGAGATTTGGGGGCACACAGGACACCCCAAAATCATTCCAAGCTATGGTGGCACACAGAACACCCCAAAATGTGCCCAAAATCACCACCCCGAGCCGCGGGGGCACACAGGACACCCAAAAATAATTCCGAGCTTTGGGGGCACACAGAACACCCCAAAATGTGCCCAAAATCACCACCCCGAGCCGCGGGGGCACACAGGACACCCAAAAATAATTCCGAGCTTTGGGGGCACACAGAACACCCCAAAATGTGCCCAAAATCACCACCCCGAGCTGTGGGGGGGCACACAGGACACCCCAAACCGCGCCTGGAGGAGCCCGGAGTGCATTGAGGGCTCTGGGGGAGCGCGGGGCCCGAGCCCCCCGCGCGTTTGGGGACACGGAGGTGACACCGCCGGGGGGCCCGCGCGGGGGGTCGCGATAAGGGCCGGGCGATAAGGGCCGGGCTCGCAGCCCATTCGCGGCCCCGTTAGGGAAGGTGCCAATCCCGTCACCCCGGGTGGCAGGGGACACCGGGGACACCGGGGACACACAGACACCACGGACACACAGACACACTGGGGACACCGGGGGACACACAGACACCATGGACACACGGACATTGGGGACACACGGACACACTGGGGACACACAGACACCGGGGACACACAGACACACGGGCACACACGGACACCGGGGACACACGGACACCGGGGACACACAGACACACCGGGGACACCGGGGGACACACAGACACCACGGACACACAGACACACCGGGGACACACGGACACCGGGGACACACGGACACCGGGCTGGTGCCAGCGCTGTGCCCCGTGCCCACCCTGGGGGTCGCAGCTTTGCCCCCACCCCGATTTACCCGCTGGGTTCTCCCCGTTCCCGCTGTGCCCGATCTGGGAAAGGGAAAAAATGGGAATTTGGGGGGGTGGGTACCCCAAAGTGCACCCCCTGAGCTGTGGGGGCACACAGGGAACCCCAAACTGCGCCAAAATCACCCCTCTGGGTTATGGGGGACACAGGGAACCCCAAACTGCATCGAAATCACCACCCTGAGCTATGAGAGGACACAGGACACCCCAAATTACACCCAAAATCACCACTCTGAGGTGTGGGGGTACACAGGGCACCCCAAACTGCCCCAAAATCGCCACCCCGAGCCTTGGGGCACACAGGACACCCCAAATTACACCCGAAATCACCACTCTGAGGTGTGAGGCGACACAGGGCACCCCAAAATCATCATTCCAAGATATGGGGGCACACAGGGCACCCCAAATTACACCCGAAATCACCACCCCGAGTTGTGGGGATACACAGGGCACCCCAAAATCATCATTTGGAGCTGTGGAGGCACACAGAACACCCCTAATTACACCCGAAATCGCCACCCCGAGCCGTGGGGGCACACAGGGCACCCCAAACTGGCCCCAAAATCATCATTCGGAGCTGTGGGGGCACAGAGGGTACCCCAGATCACCACCCCGAGCTGTGGGGGCACACAGGGAACCCCAAACTGGCCCCAAAATCATCATTTGGAGCCTTGGGGCACACAGGGCACCCCAAATTACACCCAAAATCGCCACCCCGAGCCGTGGGGGCACACAGGGCACCCCAAACTGCTCCAAAATCATCATTCGGAGCCTTGGGGCACACAGGACACCCCAAATTACACCCGAAATCGCCACCCCGAGCTGTGGGGGCACACAGGGCACCCCAAACTGTCCCCAAAATCATCATCCCGAGCTGTGGGGGCACACAGGGCACCCCAAATTACACCCGAAATCACCACCCCGAGCTGTGGGGGCACACAGGGAACCCCAAACTGGCCCCAAAATCATCATTTGGAGCCTTGGGGCACACAGGGCACCCCAAATTACACCCAAAATCGCCACCCCGAGCCGTGGGGGCACACAGGGCACCCCAAACTGCTCCAAAATCATCATTCGGAGCCTTGGGGCACACAGGACACCCCAAATTACACCCGAAATCGCCACCCCGAGCTGTGGGGGCACACAGGGCACCCCAAACTGTCCCCAAAATCATCATCCCGAGCCGTGGGGGCACACAGGGCACCCCAAACTGGCCCCAAAATCACCATTCGGAGCCTTGGGGCACACAGGGCACCCCAAACTGCCCCAAAGTCATCATTCGGAGCCTTGGGGCACACAGGGCACCCCAGGCCGTGCCCAGGGCTGGCGCCGGAGCCAGACCGCCCCGGGGGGGGCTGTTTGCCCAGGGGCTGCTGCCCCCCCCGGGGGCAAGGCTGGCAATTATGGAAATCCCTTAACCCCTGATTGCCTCCTCCCACCCCATTAGGCGGGCAAACAGTTTGAGCAGCGGGGGGCTCAGATATCGCCCGGCTACAAAAACCCCGCGGGTCCGGCCGGGCTGGCACCGCCACCGCCACCGCCACCGCCACCGGCAGCAGCATGGTGACATCCCCGGCCGTCCTCTGCCTCGTGGCCTGGCTGCTGCCACCCGCCGCCGGGCACCTGTGGGCATGGATGTTCCACCTGCCGCAGGGCTCGCCCGACGCCGCCGCGCTGGGCAGCAGCCCCGGGGGGCTCCTGGAGGAGGTGAGGGAAGGGGGGACCCCCGGGGGGCAGCGGGGTGGGCACGGAGCGGGGTGGGAGCAGGGTGGGCACGGGGGTGGGTGAGGGCAGAATTGACAGCCAGGGTGGGCTCAGGGTGGGCACAGAGCTGGGTTTGTAGCCAGGGTGGGCTCAAGGGTACGAGGGTGATTTGGAGTCGGGGTGGGCTCAGAATTTGGAGGCAGGATGGGCACAGAGCTGGGTTTGTACCCAGGGTGGGCACGGGGGTGGGTAAAGACAGAATTTACAACCAGGGTAGGCTCAGGGTGGGCTCAGGGTGGGCACAGGGCTGGGTTTACAGCCAGGGTGGGCTCAGGGGTACAAGGGTGGTTTGGTGTCGGGGTGGGCTCAGAATTTACAGCCAGGGTGGGCACAGAGCGGGTTGTGCAGCCAGGGTGGGCACGGGGGTGGGTGGGCTCAGAATTTGCAGCCAGGATGGGCTCAAGGTGGGCACAGAGCTGGTTTTGTAGCCGGGGTGGGAGCACGGTGGGTGAAGGCAGAATTTACAACCAGGGTGGGCTCAGGGTGGGCTCAGGGTGGGCACAGAGCTGGGTTTGTACCCAGGGTGGGCACGGGGGTGGGTGAAGGCAGAATTTACAGCCAGGGTGGGCACAGAGCGGGGTGTGCAGCCGGGGTGGCAGCAGGGTGGGCACGGGGGTAGGTGAGGGCAGAATTTACAGCCAGGGTGGGCTCAGCGTGGGCACAGAGCTGGGTTTGCGGGATCTGCAGCAGGGTGGGCTCAGGGGTACGAGGATGGTTTGGTGCCAGGGTGGGCTCAGGATTTGCAGCAGGGTGGGCACAGAGGGGGCACAGGGGGTGTCCGTGGATCTGTCCCCATTCGGGGGGCACAGGGGGGGTCTGTCCCCATCCGGGGGTCGCGGCGGCGGGGCCGGCAGGGGGCGCGGCGGCGGCGGGCGGCGCCGGGCGCTCCAGTGGCGCAATCGGTCAGCGCGCGGTACTTATAGGGCGGTACACGAGCGATGCCGAGGTTGTGAGTTCGAGCCTCACCTGGAGCAGGACTTTTGGAGGGGGTTTTCCCCCAGCCCCGCCGCCGGGTTTTCTTTTCACGAGAAATAAAAATAAATCCTGGATCCCAGGCTGGCAGAGCGCCGCTGCCACGCTCGGCCCCCCAAAATCACCCCCGCACCAAACTTGTGAACAGATGGGGTTTTGCGCCGTTCCCAGCCAGTCTCGGGGGCAGGGATGGAATGGGGCGGGGGTGAGGTGTGACCCCCCCCTGACGTGCCGTGTCCCCTCCTCCGCAGGTGACCCCGTGCAGCCCCGCCGCCCCCTGTGCCCACGGGCACTTCTGCGACGAGCACTTCGGGCTGTGCCTGCCCACGCGGCCCGAGGGCCACTACTGCCGCCACGACCCCCACTGCGCCCCCGGGCTCGTCTGCGTGTTCGGCAAGTGCCAGCAGCCCGTGCCCCCCGGGCAGGACGGTGAGTGGGGGGCTGGCACGGGGGGCACGGCGGGGACCAGCTCTGCGAGCGCTGGGGGGATGCAGTGCCGGAGGGGTGCAAACCAGGGGGTGCTGGGGGGTCAGAGAGGGGGGTCCCAGCGCCCTGAGGTCGCTTTCCGTGCCACCAGGAGCGCGGTGCCAGCGGGACGAGGAGTGCGGGGCCGGCGGCTGCTGCGCTCGGCAGCACGGGGAGCGAGTTTGCCAACAGCGGCTGGCGCTGGCCCAGAGCTGCCACGTGCCCCCCGGGGGACTCGCCTTCAGCATCAACCAGGTGTGCCCGTGCCAGGCCGGGCTGGTGTGCCGGCCCGCGGCGCCCGCCAGAGAGTGAGTACGGGGCGGGGGGCGTGGGGGGCACGGGGCAGCCCTGGGCGGGGGGACAGGGCTGAGTGTCACTGATTTGGGGACACATGGGCGGGGGGATCTGGGGGACAGAGCAGTCACCAATTTGGGACACCCGCGGGGGACAGGGCTGAGTGTCACCAACTGGGTGACACCTGGGTGCAGCCCTGGGTGGGGGGACAGAGCTGAGTGTCACTGATTTGGGGACACCTGGCTGGGGGGATGCGGGGCACAGAGGTGTCACCGACTGGGGGACACTTGGGCGGGGGATGCAGGGGGACAGAGCTGAGTGTCACCAAGTGGGGGACACCTGGGTGCAGCCCTGGGTGGGGGGACAGGGCTCAGTGTCACTGATTTGGAGACATCTGGACAGGGGGATGCGGGGGACAGAGCTGTCACCGATTTGGGACAGCCGCGTGGGGGATGCAGGGGGACAGGGCTGAGTGTCGCCAACTGGGGGACACCTGGGTGCAGCCCTGGGCCGGGGGACAGGGCTGAGTGTCACCGCTGTCGCCGTGTTTGCCCGCAGGAAGGCGTTCGAGTACCGGCCGGAGAAGATCGAGTGGCGGTGCCGGCAGCCCTGAGCGCTCCCGGCTGTATTTATTACCTGTAAATATCGCGTCCAGACCCGGCCCTGCGCCGATAAACCCGGCCCAGCGCCGCGCTGAGCCCGGCTGCTGGCGCTGGCCACCCCCGGGGTGGCTGGGGAGGGGGGCTGGAGACCCCCGGAGACCCCCGCGGTTGATCCTCGCCCCCTCCCCTTCCCCGGAGCCGGGCAGGTCCCAGCTCCATCCTCAGCCCCGAGCAGGACTGAGCTCGGCTGTGCCCAGTCCAGAGCAGCCCCCCTGTCCCCTCGTGTCCCCTCGTGTCCCCCCGTGTCCCCCCAGCCCTCAGCAGGCTCGGGCAGGGGGGGCAGGTCTCACCGAAATGTTTATTACAAAGAACCAAGCGAGCGGGGCGAGTCCCCCCCGCCAACACACACACACACACGCCAAGGAGAAAAAAATAAATAAATAAAATAACATTTCTGTCGGGTCTTTAAATTAAAAGTTTGGTGGGGTGACATAAATACGGGACGTCCCTCTGCCCCGCGGGGGGGGCCGGGGGGGCCCCACTGCCCGGATTTTGGCCGCCGGGGCAGGGGGGGCTCAAAGCACTTGGCAGGCAGTGACACCGAGTCCCCCCCACAAATAAAGGGGGAAACTGAGGCACGCGTGGGTGGCGGCTTGGCAGCGGCAGAGCTGGGTGCCCCCAAGCCCCCCGGGCCGGGCTGGTGGTCTGGGTAAGGCAGTGAACCCCGGGGACCCCCCGGGATGGGGGTGGGGGGCAGGGGGCCGCCCCACAAGTGGGACAAGCCCCGTCCCGCGGTGGGGGCCGGACGTGGGGTGTCCCCAGGCCACCCTGGTGTGGTCACACCCCGCAGAGCTGGGGGGGCGCAGGGGACGCTCCCCGGGGCGGGCACAGGACAAGGCAGTGCCCCAGGGCGCGGGGGGACGGACGGACAGAGGCTCACGGACAGACGGACAGACGGACACGGCTGGACAGGCACGGCGGGGGGGAACGAGAAGGGAGAGGGGGGCTGGGGAAG